CAGTGTGACTGGCCCCGGCCTACCTGCCGCTTGGGGGCCACAACCCGATCTCCCCTCCGGCCTCTCCCAGCTTGGGCACTGTGGCTCGTGCCTGGTCCTCTACCCACATGCTCTTCCCCAGCTTGTTTCATGGTTGCCTGGTTTTCATTCTTCATTGGTCAACTGAAGTGTCACCTCCTTGGGGAGGCCATCCCTGACCACCCTATGTGTAGTGGCCCTGTCTCACATTATTTTTGGCACCCCACTTTTTCCCCTGTCCTAGCGAGTTGTTTGGTGTCTGCCTGCCCCGCTGGAATGTAAGACTCATGCGGGCAGGGGCCTGGTCGAGCTAGGCCTACACCATCTTGCAGAGCCTGGCTCAGCACCTGGCAGAGAGCAAGAGCTGGGTGAATCTTTTGTTAAACAAAAGAACCATCCTGTGAAACCAGGACTGTCACCTTAGCCCAGGGCATCTGGATGCTCAAAGAGGCTAAAGGACTTGCCCAAGGTCACCCAGCATGGCTCACCCAGAGGGAGAGCCAGGCCCAGGTCTGGTCTTGGCTGCTGCTGAGTGACTCAAGAGAGAAAGGAGGAGGAACGTCTCTTGGGAGCAGGTGGGGAGGCTTAGAGCCCCAAAGGGGCAGGTACTGGGCCAGCTGGAGCACTCTGGCTCCAGCAGTGCCCAGGACTCAAGGGCTGGGCTGCGGAAAGACTGCGTCTAGGGCTCTGGGTGGGGGTACCAGCTGACGCAGGCGGAGGAGCTCCTGGTGCCAGGCACCTGGGACCATGTGCCCGGCCCAAGAGGTGCTTCCCAACCTGGCTCCAGGCCACCCCAGACTATACAGTTGCGGCCATAGTTGGCCTTGACTGCTCAGGGAGCTCATGAGGAGGAGGTGGGGGCTGACCACCTGGGCACAGGAGGCCCCAGTAGGTCTCCTGGGTCCCAGTAGACCCTTGCCCCCCCAACCCCGCCCGCTGGGCCTTGCCCTCAGCAGAGACCTCCAGCCCCGCAGCCTCCCTGAATGCCCAGCCCTGCCCTCTAGGGCCTGGCTGAGGCCCCTCTGCCAGCCTTCCCTGGGCTGCCCTCCTCCCAAGAGGTGAGGGGCCTGCAGAGGGGCAGTCCCCTCTGTCTGTACCCCGCCCCCTCTGACTGGGCCGGAGGGGAATTTTCCTGTGACTCACTCTGCTGGCACTTCCTGTGGTCACTAGGGTAGGGGCTGGGGGACCCAGCGGGGTGGCTCTGTATTCTGGGGTCACTGGGAGAGGGTGGGCCGGGGGTCCCGCCCCCTGACAGGATGTGATTCCCTGAGGCAGGCAGCAGACCATATTTGGGAAATGCTTTTCTTGCAGGCAGCTTGGGGATAGCCATGAGCGCCGGTGGGCTGCAGGGCAGCCCCCGCCCCTGCCTGCTCCTCCCGGGGCTCTGGCCTCTGAATCTGCTTCAGCCTTCTCTGTCCCATCCTGCCTTGGAGCCTAGGAGATAGTCCACTATTTTCTTTTTCAGGATGTGTATGTTTCAACCCCAAAGCCCAGAAATGCTCATTAAATACAAATTGAAAAATTCTGAAAAACAGGAAGAGAAAGCATCCCCCTTTGTCTTAAGCATTAACACTGTCATTCTTACCCTCTCCCATTTTTTAAGTTTGAGTGACGCTTTATTGAGGCATAATTTACGCTGCAGTGCATTTACAATTCTGTCGTAATCATGGTGTGCAGCACCCAGCAGTTCTGAAGGAGTCTGCCCTGGTGCTCACCTTGGTACTGGGGTGAATCCGCCTGCTCTGCTCTCCGGGAGCTGCCTGTCTGGACTGGCTTCTCCCCTGGGCCTTGCCCCTCTTGGCCTCCAACATTCTAGCCTCTGGCCCTTTCTGGGGCTGGAGGCTCTGAGCTGCTCTGGAGAAATGGGCTCCCCACTGATTCTCTCCAGGGTCTGAGAGTGCAGTCCTGGGGCCTGGAGCACTGCTGCCTGCCCAGGCCTCCCTCCTGGGCCACTGTCCTCATTGGTGATGCTTGGTCCTCTTCCCTAATTCTCAGTATAGCAGGCAGGGGAGACAGAGGTCAGAGGCGCACTTTCTGGCCCCGGATGCTGGTCTGGAGGGAGGAAGGTGGGCCCTCCTGGACTTGGCTGAGGCCTCACCCCTACTCCTTTCTGCCCTCAGGACCCAGGCTCCCACTTCCTATTTCTGTCCAAGGGAGGCGTGGCCCTTCTTTCTGCTTGGAATTCCAGCTCCTGCTTGATTCCTTGGAGATGGAGTCTAGGGGACGGGATGAGACTCGGGCCCGGGCGGGGTAGGTCACACAGCCAGTGGGTGGCCAGAACCCAGGTCCCATTTCCAAATCAGGGGTCTAGACCAGGCTCTGTGTCCTCAGACCCCAGGAGACTCAGAGGAGGGCAACCAGAGCTGAGGCTTGGCTGGTGGGGCTGGAGCCCAGCTTGCCTGGCACTGTCCTCTCCGCGGACCTGGCTTCTCTCCTGTGTGAGGCCTGTGCTCTTGCTGAGCCATGCCGAGCTCTCTGGGCAGCTGGGGCCTCTTGCTGCCCTAGGAGGCCAAGGCAGCCCTGGCCTTCTCTCAGCCAGGTGCCTCCTTGCTCCTGCCTTCTGCAGGAATTGACCTTGGCCCTCCAGCTGGGGACCCTGTGTGATATCTCTCGGCCCAACCTGAGCCTGGCACCTGTCCAAGGTGGGCAGTGGCAGCAGGGGCCAAGGACTGAAAACACAGAGGCCCCTCCCCGCCTGGGGTCTCTCTCCCAGTGGGGTTCTGGGCCTGCTGCTCGGTGTCTGCCAGAGCTGTGGCCCCATGGAGTGTGCATCCCTGCTCCAGGAGGGTTTGCTGACTAAGGGAGCCCCATAGCAGTGCCCACTTCTGGGGTAGCTATGAGAATTACAGGAGTAAAGAGCAGGCTGGGGGTGCTGCTCTTTGGCCGTGCTCAATCTGTATGAGACCCCTTTCTCGTTTTGCTGTATTTTCCCCATTCATTCCTGATGCCTGTCTCATTCCCGTCCCTCTTCCAGAAGCACCCATGCTAATGTAATGTGTCTGGAATCTGTCCTTGAATGAGTGTCTGTGAAAAATACGTAGACTTGTTTTATAGACATTTGTAACATTTACGTAAAGGGTTCTGGGCTGTAGGTCTCCTGTTTGTTCTTCTAACTCAGGTGGGCGTGGCTGACATTCCTCACCAGATACCTGGACACCTGCTGGAGCACAGAGCAGAGTCACAGATGTGTGTGTCCTGTTTGCCGGCTGGAACCCTGAGCATCCTTTGTGGAGGTCTTGGCCATTCGGTTTTCCCCTCCGGAGAACTCACTCTATGTTTTGTTGGCTTTCTGTTGGTGTTCTTGTCTTTTCCTTGCTAATTTTTAGGAGCATCTCCAGATTCTAGATTAATCACTCTCTTGTCATTTGGTGACCTGTCACCCTGTCAGCTTTGTGTTGTTCCCCATCCAACAGAAACTGTTCATTTTCATGAGGTTGACTCCATCTATTTATTTTTGTTGTTGTTACCTTACGTTTTGTACTTTTGGGGTTTTTGGGCTTTTGTTTTATAATTTTTTCCCACCTCAAGGTGACAAAGATATTCTCCCACTATTTTTTCTTTTATCAGCTCTAGAGTTGTACCTTTTGCATTTAGGTCTTTCGTTGCTCTTTGGTTATAACGTGAGGCAAGTGTCCAAGTTGGTTTTTCTTCCTCCAGTGAGTGAGTTTTCCTGCTGTCATCTTTGGTAAGGTCTTATCCTTCCCCTTGCCGGGTGGTACCGAGTTCCCATAGAGCGGGGCCCCTTCTGAGCCCTGGCCCGGCCCTGAGTCCCTGTGCTGCTCACTGATGTGGAGTGTGGCGCGTCCTTGCGCCTGGGAAGGTGAGTGCTCCTTTGCCTGTCATTGACAGAATTGACCTGCTTGTTCATGGACCTCTAGTCCTCCATTTAATTCTAGAAGGTCTCTTTTTCTTTGGTCAAATTGCTCAAAAAAAAGAAAAAGTCCTGCTGGCATTTTTATTGTAGTTTATTTTTTATTTATTTATTTATTTTTTTAATTTTATTTATTTATTTATTTTTCCCCCAAAGCCCCAGTAGATAGTTGTATGTCATAGCTGCACATCTTTCTAGTTGCTGTATGTGGGATGTGGCCTCAGCATGGCCAGAGAAGCGGTGCGTCGGTGCACACCCGGGATCCGAACCCGGGCTGCCAGCATCGGAGCGCACGCACTTAACCGCTAAGCCACGGGGCCGGCCCTTTATTGTAGCTTATTAAGTAAGCTCGGACACATTGGCTTTTTACAGTGCTGAGTCATCCCACCATGAACTTGGTACGTTTTCCCCTTTATTTGGGTTTCCTTGAGCCCTTTGTCTGAATGTAAGCGTTTTCTTCTCTGAGGTCTCATGCAGTCTTTGCTTGATTAATTCCTGGAGAGCTCGTAGCTTTTGTTGTTATTGTGCGATGTCTTTTCTATGACATTTCTCATCAGTTATTGATTCTTCTAGTTTGTTGGATTTTTACGTAGGTGCTCATATGGTCTGCAGATGATGACCGTTTGTCCCTGTGTGTCCCCTCCCCCCTTCTCTCTCGTGTTTTCCTCTTGGCTGATTACACTGGCAGGGCAGCAGGACCGATGAGTTGGAGCAGGGAGGGTGTGCATCCTGTTTTCTTCCCAGAATGTGGTGGCCATTACTGTCATTATCGCCAATTTCCCCAGTGGTGGTCCAGGTTGTAGTGCGACTTTGGGGGTGGTTTTTAAGAGTATCTTGAGTGCCATCCCTGGAGTGTAGGTGGTAGCTACGGTCAAGAGGATTTTGAGGTGCTCTCTGGGCTCGCTTGAAAAAAACACCAAGGTCAACTGGGCCTTTCTGCCGGGGACGGTGGGGGAGGAGGCGCCAGGATCTTGCCAAACCCTACTTGGTTCCTTTCTCAGTGCCAAGGCCAGACGCCTCCCCAGTCCTGAAGGGGCGGGAGCTGGGCGGCCTACCAAGCCCTGGTGCATACCCTCTTGCTCTCATACCCACCTGTGTCCTCTCTCCCTAGAATGTGCTGGCCAAAGCCCTCTATGACAACGTGGCCGAGTCCCCGGATGAGCTCTCTTTCCGCAAGGGTGACATCATGACGGTGCTGGAGCGGGACACACAGGGCCTGGATGGCTGGTGGCTCTGCTCGCTGCACGGACGCCAAGGCATCGTGCCTGGGAACCGCCTCAAGATCCTGGTGGGCATGCATGACAAGAAGCCGGCAGGGCCCGGCCCCGGCCCACCCACTGCCTCGGCCCTGCCCCAGCCTGGCCTGCACGTCCCCGCCACCCAGTACACTCCCATGCTGCCTGCCACGTACCAGCCCCAGCCCGACAGCGTCTACCTGGTACCCACCCCCAGCAAGACTCAGCAAGGCCTCTACCAAGCCCCTGGGCCCAGCCCACAGTTCCAGTCTCCCCCGGCCAAGCAGACATCCACGTTCTCGAAGCAGATGCCCCATCACCCATTTCCCAGCCCAGCCCCAGACCTTTACCAGGTGCCACCAGGGCCTGGCAGCCCCGCCCAGGACATTTACCAGGTGCCACCTTCCGCTGGGATAGGCCATGACATCTACCAGGTCCCCCCTTCCATGGATGCACGCAGCTGGGAGGGGACGAAGCCACCGGCAAAGGTAAGGCCGGCCTGGCACGGCTGGGCAGCCTCCCGCCGGTTTTGCCTAGGCCCTGGTTTCTCATCACAACACGGCCCCCAGCTAAGCACCCTTGGGGTCTCTGGGGTTCCAGCAGTGGCTGCGCATTGGGTCTGGGGCCAGGGGAGGAGGTGAGCATTTGGGGAATGTGTTCATCTCTCTGGTGAAGACGGGTGTGAACAGGCTGGAGCAGCCCAGAGACGAGACATCCGAGCTGGCCTTGGACAATGAGGTGGCCTTCATGAGTGGGAGGGTGTCACTGTGAGGCAGAGGATGCAGCTTGTCAAAGGCCTGGAGGGGTGGAAAAGTGTCTGCATTCCCAGTGGGCAGGTGGGGCTTGGCCAATGAGGCCAGAGCAGCAGGCAAGGGACAGACCCCCAGGGGCCCACTGCACACCGAAGAACCAGATGTGGACTTGGGGGCTGGGGGGCCCACAGGCAGGCCTGTGTGGAACTGGCCTGTGTGCCTTCCTGAGGGTGGAGGGTTTTGCTGGGAGTGACCTGCCCAAATCCACGTCCTAGTAGAGTTGTTCTGCCCACAGAGTGGAGGGTTTGGGGAGCACCGAGGGACCCAGACTGGGGCAGGGAGCCCAGGAAAGGGAGAGTTGTGAGGGTTGTGAAGCATTTGAAGGGGAAGAGTCAAGTATGGGGCACAGTGTAGCAGCTATGCGAGAGTGGTCAGAAACCCAAAAGAGTGGATTGAACGATAGAGACGTTTCTTTCTCACACACCATGGTTCGGAGGTGAGGAGTATAGGACTGACAGGGCACCTCCGTGACTGTCGGGTCACGGCCCCTTCCATCTTGTTGCTCCACTATCCTGGACATGGGGCTCGTGGTCCCATGGACTTATGGTCCAGGGTGGTGACTGTGGGAGCTCTAGCCAGCATGGCTGCATCCCCGCCGGCAGGAAAAGGAGGAAGAGACGAAGGGGAGAGGCCATCCACCTTGTGCCCAGGGGCTCCCCTGGGTGTGTGTGGCAGCCCCTTGGACGAGGGTGGAGTACATCTTCTAGCCATCCTGCCTCCACAGGTGTCCAGCCCGTCTCCTCTTCTAGGGCATGTTAGTGTGCCAGCGGGCACCTGCACGGTGACCTGTTTGTGACTTCTAGACCATGTGGAGGACACTGCCTGTGAGATTGCCATAGTGGGGTCACCCTGAGAGAGACCCTGGTTCAAGCCCCTGTGGACTGTTGCCAATGGGATGCTGGGCTGGGGGACAAGGCTCTGAGCCCAGCACCCTCAGTTCCACACAGGCCTGCCTGTGGGCCCCCCACCCCCCCAAGTCCGTCTGCCTGTAGGAAGGAGGCAGGACTGAAGAGGGAGACCAGACCCCACTGGCTGCTTTGGGCTGAGTCAGGAGCAACCTTTTCTTCCCTTTGGCCTGTGTCTTCCCATGCCTGAGTCCCTTCAAGAGTTAGGGAGTGGAGTTTTCTGAGGCCTCAAACCCAGGGGTTTGAGGACAGAGCTGTCGCACTCAGCTCTCCCTGTCTCCATGGCTGCTCTGCCATTACAGCTCACTCAGGAGGACGCAGAAAGACTCAGCCCACGCCGGCAGGGAGCCCAGCTCCAGCTTCCCAACTCACCCCTCCTCAGAGGGAGACCACGGTGGGTGGCGTGCCCCAGAGGCCCTAGTGGGAGAGGCCATGTGGTGGGCACAGCAGCCAGCCCTTAGGAGGAACAGCCTGGCTCTGCTGGGATCAGCTTCCTGGGACCCAGGCCCCTCCTCGTTTGTGCCATGTCTAATCCAGAACTGCCTGTATCTGGAGAGACAGTGGCCAAGTGGACACTCACCCCATGGCACTGAGCCTGTCCTCAGAGCCGGCCCAGGGCTGAGGTGGGAGCCTTGTCCATGTCAGCTGGGCAGCTGGTCAGCAGGCAGTGTTGCCCTGCCCCTATCCACAGAGTGGAGCTTGGGAGCCAGGAAACCTGGCTGGAGGTCATTGGCAAGCTGAGAGTGGGGCTCCATGGACACTGGCCACCAGGGGACCCTGGGTCACTGGCTTCTGCTTCCTGCCCTACCTGCTCCTTCAGCTGCCTGGCCAGAGACAGGCCGGTGGCAGAAGCCTGTCATTCTGGACTGGGATAGTCCAGACGGGAGCTGCTCCCCAGATGGCTTTAGGGGGAGGAGCAGAGCCCTGCCAGGGGAGCATCTGTCCTGTGGGGAGACAGCAGAGAGCAGTGCCTGGCTGGCGAGCCTTGGGACAGGCCACAGTCCATCCTCTTACACAGTCCACGCCCTGCACACACCCCAGGGAGGCACACCCTTTCCCCTTCCCTCTTCCCCCCCCCCACCCCAGTGTCCTCAATCAGGCTTGTCCTGGTGCGTCTGTGAGGGCAGCGCAGGCAGTGGAAGCCCTGTGGGCCAGGAAGCAGCAGCGAGCCCCTCGGTTGGGCTGTAGACTCAAGCCCACTGTTCGGCTGTTGGTTCTGTTCCCTCCCATGCCAGGGGCTTGCTCTCAGACTGCTTCTGGGCTCCCCTGGCTGGGCTCCTCCCTCCCCAGGCCCACTGGTGGGGCTGCCCAGAGCCTTTGTCCCTGGGGGCCCTGACCTGGCTGGTGACCTAGGAAGGAGAGCCCTGTGTCCTGGGGCCTGGTTGCCCTCCCGGGACGTTGCTTCTGGCTGGGCAGCCTCCATTGCGTCTGCTTTTATTTTATGATCGTGGAAGCAGTACTTGTTTGTCATAGAAAATGCATAATGTATGAAAAAGCCTAGAGATGAGATTCCCCAATCAAGAGGTAATCACTGGGAAATTTTGGCATATTTTGTCTAGCATATTCTCTATTTGTCTTTCACAGATTTGTACACATACTTTTGCGTTTTGAGGTTGTATATCCAACATAAGATGTCGAAAGAATTTTTTTGGGTCCCTAAGTGTGATTGTGAGTGACGGCCGCCCCCGATTTTCGGTGTTGCCCCCTCCCCGGGGGGCTCTAGGCAGTTTCTGACTGCTGTGTCTGTGTTACAAACAGCCAGGCGATAAATAGCTTGGTGCGTCTGTGCCCACATTTCAAGGTTGTGCTTTCGTAAGCCTCGTCCTCCACCTCAGAAGTCTGGGAAACTGAGGTTCATGGTTCCAGGGGTAGGGGTCAGTGGGGCCAAGGAAGGCCCTGCCAGGACTGTGGGTGGGTGGGTGGGTGGGGGCCCTGGCACCCAGGAAGCTGGAGGGTGAGTGACAAGGCTGGTGGCCAGGAGGGGTCAGACGCCTGGAGTTTGGAGCAGAGTGGCCTGCGTCACTGGGAGAGAGGTCAGCACCCTTAGGGCCGGGGAGTGGCTTTAGGAAGCTGAGGACAGAAGCAGGTGGGCTCCCAGAGAGGGAGGGGTTTTTGTGAGTCACTCTTTAGGGGGAGTGCCTCTGGGGCAGGGGCCACAGCTGTGCCTAAGGGGACAGCTGTGGCGCTGGGTCAGGCGCCGGGGGAGACACAGCTGAACTCAGTCCTGTTCCTTCTGGATTTCACCCTGAGAATCTTCGTCTCCTCCCTAGGCTCCTAATGCCACACCCTGCAAGGCCCAGGAGCTTGGGAGGGGACCCTGTCAGGCGTGTCCCTCACTCTCTATGAGGGGTTAGATGGTCGCCTACTCCGTCCCACAGTACTCTAGCAGTGCTCCATTTCCCAGAGGAGGAAACTGAGGCTCCTAGATGGGGGTGGGACTGGGGGTGCGCCAGAGGGAGGCCTGGGTCACGTGCAGCGATGTCTTTTGCAGGAAGGGAGATGAGCAGCCAAGCTACCTGGAGGTGGTTGGGGGCCTGGGCAGAATGAGGCAGGTGGCCTGTCCCGGCCCGGGGGATCTTGGGAGCCTTTAGCTTCACTTCTCGCTCCTGCACTCTGCACATGCCCTGAGGAGCCCTACCCACCTGGGTTTGTCTGTCTGTCTCCAGGTGTGCGTCTGGTGGTGGGTATTGTGCATATTTTCTCGGCCTCTGTGTGCCTGTCTCCTGCACTGTGGAGATGTGTGTGTGACAGAGCATGTGGGTCTTGGGTCGGGGTCTGTGTCCCTCCTGGACTCGGGCTGTGTCCCCACCCCAGGGGGCCTCTAGGTCCTGCTAATGAGGCCTCAGGTGCAGAGGAGGGTGGCCGGTGATTAGCAGCCTCAGCAGCTCCCTGGAGAGCTGGTTTCCCTAACGAACTTTTCCCTACTTGTGGCTGCCTTACTATTTTTTTCTAACAGAAAAACATTTACTGGCCAGTATGGCTGCTTACTGTCACCAACTCAGCTTCAGGAGTGGCAAGCTGCCAATAGCCCAGGCCTGGGGTCTGGCCCCCAGAGCCTTTCCCCTTGCGCTCACTGCCCTCTCTCATCACCGTGGGGCTGAGAGGGGCACTGTCGGGGCTCCGAGTGGGTGGATAAACACCCCTCTTTGTGGAGCCGGGTCCTCCTCTGCCTTGCGGAGCCCGGCAGGGCCTGGAGACGCCTCAGGCCTTGCCTCAAGGCCCCGCCAACCTGCCACGTCCCGCCTGCCCTGCTGTTGGCAGGTTCTAGCAGCTAAAAATAACTCTGGAGGAGACTCAAGTCTGGGGCGCCAGCAGAGAGATGCGTTTGGGGAGGGCCGCCAACTGCACTCCCAGACATGTTGGGGGGGGTGCAGTGGGCGGGGAATACCCCGTGGAGGCACTGTGGAGAGCCAGCCTGAGAGGCCCTGTGTCACAGCCAGCTCTGCTGTACTGCCCGGGAGGCGGGCAGAGAATGCATCAGTAGAAGGCCCTGCCAAGCCCTGGGCTGAGCAGAAAAGTGCTAGTGCCCGTGCTTCTGGGGGACACTCTGCTGCTCCTGGGATGCCCAGCATGTGCACACACTGCCTGCACCCTCCAGGGCACAGAGGCCTGCAGAGCTGGCTATCGGTGTCATGGGGACTAAGGGGCTGGGTGCAAGAACGGGACGCAGGGTTCTGGGGTCGTTGAACCTGAGGGCGGGTCCTGCCTTGGCCCTGCTGCCTCCAGGGATGTGTGTTGGGAAGGCCTGAGTCAACCCTGTCCCGGACGTCCCGTTCGATTAGGGAACAAAAGGCCTTTCTATGGGGCAAAGAGCTGAGCAGGGAGCCTGGTGAGGGAGGTGCGCCTGAGCTGGGTTAGAAGATCCTGGGGGCCCCTCCCACAGGACTGAGTGCCTGCCAGGAGGGAGGCTGCCCACACAGCACTGCCTACAAGGCTGCGCTGCCCCTTCCAGGCTGGGTGCTGGCATGAAGGGCTCTCGGCAGCTCGCTGCCCTGGACCCTGGGCCAGGGGGTGAGCACTGGGGAGGGGAAGGGCTGGCCTCCTCTCTGGCTGACATGGGGGCCGACATGCCCCTGCTAAGGCCTTGTCCTTTCAAGTGGGTGGTGGTCTCGGTGGCCCCGTAGGTGGGGTGCACTGGGGTGTGGTGCAGTTGGTTCTAGTCTTGGCCACTACCTCGCACCCACACCTGACTTTCCAAAACAGCCCGGGCCCTCCATCTGCCCGAGAACTGACGCTGAGGTCTGGGAGTTCTTGGTGGCCCTGTCCTCCCTGAGGAGTCTCTCCAAGATGTGCTCAGGGGACGAGGAGGTCAGGGGCACTGCTTGCTGCTCTGCCAGGCCACCACCTCCTTGAGGCCCCAGGCCCTGATTGTCGGGATTTTCTGTAGGCCACCTCTTCTGGGCCCAGCCCAAGGCATGCACAGCGTGGCACCACCACCTGCATTTGTCCTGGAGCCAGAAGGTGGCTGCTGGGTCCTGCAGTCGGGACAGCCCCTTACTGGGAAGGCCTTTCTGAGGAGGGTGCAGCTGGAAGGTGTCATCAGGCAGAGGCGCCCCAGTCAAGGGTGGCCTCTCCCCCATCACCCACGTGCACCCTCCTCTGAACCTTTTGGGTCATCCACCTGCTGAGACCACGTCTGTTTCTTGGCCAGAACCAGATGGCTCTAAACAAACTGTGGGGGTCCTAGTATTCCCCAAGTGCTGCATTTGATTGAAGAAAGGGCAGAGAATGCAAAAGGATGAGAACACCTTTGCTTCTGAGTGGCCTCTGAGCCCACCTCACGGTGGAGTGGCATCTCCCTGAGGACCTAGGGGTGCATCCTGGAGGCTGGCTTCCAGGGCCAATGGTGACAGTCGGCTGTCTACCCCCCAGGTGGTGGTGCCCACCCGTGTGGGGCAGAGCTATGTGTTTGAGGCCTCCCAGCCAGAGCAGGATGAGTACGACATCCCGCGCCACCTGCTGGCCCCGGGGCCCCAGGACATCTATGACGTGCCCCCTGTTCGGGGGCTGCTTCCCAGCCAGTATGGCCAGGAGGTAGGTGTTGGGGCTAGGGACAGGGGGACCTTGGCCTGGCCCTGGCCAGGGGACTGGGCTTTCTTGGCCCCACCCAGGGTGGTCCTGGGGTGGGTGCTGTGGAGTTTCTGCTCTTTACATCCCTTCAGGTGGCACTGGCACCTATAGCACTGCACCTTTTCTGCCCCCAGGTGTATGACACGCCCCCCATGGCTGTCAAGGGTCCCAATGGCCGGGACCCATCACTGGATGTGTATGACGTGCCCCCCAGTGTGGAGAAGGGCCTGCTGCCATCCAGCCATCATGTGGTGAGCAGCCAGGGAATGCTGGGGCCTTGCAGGCTGAGGCCTGATGTGTGCACAGGGTTCTGGGTGTGACTGAGTGTGTGCACTGGGTTGGGGATTCATGTCTGCGGGACTGGGGGCATCAAGAGACCTAACTCTAGACCTGGCTCTGTCCCTCACTCGCTCTGTGACAGATGTGGAAACTGAGCGCTCCTCTGAACTGAGGAGCCTCAGCTTCCTCATCTATAAAAGGGCCCCTTATAGGCCTTCTTCAGTGAGTTCTTGACAGGATCACACAGGATATCAGCAAGGTGACCACAGAATTTACCAAACCAGGGCACTTCTGAGAGTGAAAGGGGGCAACCAGTAATTATGAGGGGGTATCAGGCACAAATCAGGACTATCCTGGGCAAACCAGGCCATTGTCACCCTGAATATATAACACACGAATAGCTCAGCCAGGTACAAAGTAGAGAATACACAAGCGGTGGTGGTGATCGTTGTGATGATTGTGATCATAGTGATGATGGTGGTGATGATGGTGATGAGGATGGTGGTGGTGGTGATGGTGGTGGTGGTG